CGAGCGCGCCGAGCTGTTCGTGCGCGCGCTCGATGTGTTTGCCGACCTCATGCGCGTGCTCGACGGCTCCGAGGCGGCCGACGAGATCGCGCTCGTGCGCGCCGATGCATCAAGCGCGCCGCTGCGCACGCACAAGCTGCACTGGAACGCCGACGCTTGGGCCGATTCGCTGATGCCGTTCCTCCAAAGCGTCGCGTCGTTCGCGCAGGTCGAGCGTATCGTCGAGGTGCTCATCTCGTGCTGCATCTGTCGCGCGCTCGACCGCCCGCTCGTGCTCGATGCGCCCACGCGCGTGGACCGCATCGTCGCCGCACTGCTCCGCTACCTCAGCCCGGCCATGGCGCCGTACCATGTGCGCGCCGTCGAGCTGCTCTGGGCCACCAACAAGGTAACGCGCCGCTCGCGCCTCGAGACCGCGCTGGCGCATCAGCTCAGCCACAACGATGCCGCCGCACGCGCTGCAGCACTCACGGCGTTCGGCGCGTACTGGCGCTTGAGCGAGGACGTGTCGACGGACGAGCTGCGCACGCCGCTGCTGCTCGTGCTCGACCGGCTGCAGGCGTCGGATGCCGACGAGCGACAACAGGCCGAGCTCTGGCTGCGCGCTCACGTCCGGTCGTACGTTAAAGTCGTCGATCCACTCGTGCACATGCTCGTCCGCAACCAGCCGGCACAACTCGCACCCGCCACAGTCAACCTCGACGGGATCAGCGTGGTGATCACCCACGTCGAGCAGCCGTACAACCACGAGCTGGTGGTGTATGCGCTGCGCACGCTCGCCGCGCTCGTGCGCTTCGGCGGCCCGGGTCTTGTCAAGGCGCTTGCGTCCACGCCGCTATCGGCATCGCTCAGCACAGCCACCAAGCAGCTCGTGCGCGCCAAGACGCTCGATGGCGCCGCGACCTATCTGGATGTGGTGCTGGACGAGTGCGTCGAGTGGATGCGCACGTATCCGGCGGTGCAGCTCGAGGCGCAGCTCGCGGCGTCGTCCGATACGCTGCGTGCTGCCGCGGTGGATGCCATGCACGGCCTCCTCCAGCGCACCGCCATCGCGCCGAGCCGCACCGACGAGCTGGAGCGCGAGCTGATCGAGGCGCTGCTGGTTGCCGTGCATCGTGGCGCGACGGCGGTGCAGAATCGCATGCTGCACACGCTGCACACGCTGCTCGCAGCCAAGACGGGCGCGGCAGCCCAGCGCACCGCCGCCTCGGCGGGCATCCATTCGCGCACCGACTCGACGGG